CACATTAATAATATACATAAATAAGTATACAAAATAACATAATTTACTGTCCTGCAAATAATATTAATTTATTAAAATATTGTCTTTTGCTTACATTATTATCAGTTTGTTTTGCAATATAAAAGTACCGTGTTTTTACGTATTTTATTATAACACTTTTAATTAAATTAATTCTATGACATATTAAGAAGTTTTGATCATTTGAATGTGTTAATAATTCTTTAAATATATTTATCATATTTAAATTTGAAAGTACAATTTGTGTAATACAGTAAACGGAATATTTCGAATTTGAAGTTATATTATTTTCTTTTATGGTAAATCTGATATAGCCTTTTCCGTTTCAAGGCATATTTTTATTACACTACTTGAAGGATATGTTAAACCACCACGATCATCAAATAGATAGCAGCACTAATGGCCCATATAAATATGGCTGAAGGTGGTTTAGAAGTCAAATCCCCCCCGCACCAGTGCTTCACTCCCCGCGTCCATAATATCCCATAATGCTCTGTCCTTCAAGTCCGTGGGTTGCCGAAAGTGCGAGTTTCTTGCACTCCCAGCTAAACAATAAACTACGGGTGTTTACGATAATTCAAGTTCGAGTTAGTTTCACTAGGACCGAAAAATGAGATAGACATAACCATCTAGAACCTTTATGATTTATGACAACTCGACGCTGTCTTGTATTGCTTGAGTTAAATTAATTGAATTTGTTGAGTTTATAGAGCAAATTTTATTGTAATAAAAAAATGTCAACTGCAAATCAGTCTATGAAAGAAACAAATAATGTTGGTATGTATGTGTGTGTGTGTTGGTATACCTCTTTAATAGATATAATTATATATATATGTATATAATTATATTTATTAAACTCAACAAATTCAATGAATTTAACTCAAGCAATACAAGACAGCGTCGAGTTGTCATGAATCATAAAGGTTCTAGATGGTTATATATATCTCATTTTTCGGTCCTAGTGAAACTAACTCGAACTTGAATTATCGTAAACACCCATTCTGTATACGAGTATATGTGAAGCGGAATATATGTAATATTTATAAAGTAAATCTGATTTAGTACACCTTGTATGTTCTTGAGGTTATGTAAAAAGATTATTGGTGATATTGATAGACTTATCATTCCAGAAGGTACTAATTTATATTCATGCTAATTACTTAGTTATAATTAATAATTCATTAAGTTAATATTCAAATATTAATTTTTTATATATTAGTAGATGATTATGAGCTCAGAAAAGTGTATAATGAATCCTGATTTAGTATTATTTATTATATAAAAACAATGGCAAAGGTGGAAGAAGCAAACATTTCAACAGCGGAAAATTAGAAAACATCACATATTAAAACTGTTTGCAATATGGAAACTGATAATATATGAAGAGAAAAAAACTTGTCGCAAAATGCTTACAAATCTTTTACATATGTGACAAAATGTACTCTTTTCACGCTGCATTACCTACACCACCACACACTTTAGTTGCGCTTCTTTCTTTAATTCAGCGTAACAACAATAGCGTAAAAAACATAAAAATAACTAGGTGGAAGCTAATATTCAAATGAGACGATGTGATTGGTCGGCGCAAGTTACGCTTACGCAAGTTACGCCGCATGTGACGGCACCCTTACACCGTGGTTAACTCTAATCAATGGTTAGAGAATTGCCAACATGAAGAATAAAATATTGTAATTAAAGGAAAAAATTTCTCTCATAAGCTTAATATTATATATATTATAATAATATAGTGTTAGTATTGCAAAATCTTTTTTTACAGTCAATTTCTATACACTTTTTATCAATATATTAAGATTTTAGGATTGACAACATATACCAGTTTCGAGTTTTAAGTTGGCTATTCTGAAAAGTTACTAGTCGGTTAAAGTTAACCATAAACATAGGAATAAGGAGACAGAGCATAAGATCTTATAGCGTTTTCGAATAAACGGGGTTTGAACGATCTAGGGTTGATCAATCACTATTTTACTATAAATGCAAGTCTTTCATTGGTGGAGAGGTTGCAATGACGTCATTAACCAATCTTGGGTCGTTCAAATCCTGTATAATCGAAAACGCTATTACTTTAGGCAAGAGGAGTGAAGCCAGTTCCGCGGTGCGGGGAATAGCAGTCACGTGATACTTTGGTGCCACATTGGCATTAGTTGTAGCATAAATGCGGCACCAAAGTACCATGTGATCGTAGTCCCCGCTCCCCGAAAGCGACTTCAATCCCCCGCGGCTTACACTCCGTCTCCTTATTCCTATGTCTATGAAGTTAACAGATGTTGGAAAAAGTGGCTTTCAGGGCCGTTTCTACCAACGTTGTTTAAGAAGTTAAATCCTAGTGACATTCGGTTATTTTAACTTAACCTGAACATTGATTTTTACCAATTATTTAAGAGGATGCTGAAGTCATATTGTTACCGACCGAAACTTCAATTTTCTAAAAAGGGTGGCGTTTTTTATTGCTTTAATAGAATTACAAATCCTTTGGTGTAAATAAAGTACATATGCTAATCTTTCGGCAGTTGGTCAAATTTAAACCAAAAATAAAAAAATTTTTGAAAATTTACCGACAATGTCACCTCAAAGAATTATATCTTTTATATCAAAATTATACTGCTTCAATCTGCAAAACAAGACCATGTGCCGAAGAAGAGCGTATGAAACAATAATGGAAAACCAAAAAATAGAGCTTAGAGACTTATTTTCAAAACGCCACCCTTTTCCAGATTTATGTAAAGCATGTGTGCAATATAGAAAAATAAGGTAAAAAGAGCTATAAATTAGTTCCGAGATTTTGGGATAGAGGCGCTATACAGTTCTCAGTGCTATCTGTCATATACAGAATCTTTTAGGTTAGTTATGTGTGTTAGTTGTGCGTGTGTGTGTGTGTTTGTGTTATGTGCTACGAAACCCGGCTGAAAAAAATGGGTTGAAGGCACTCTGAAGGATAAAAAAGTGTATGTATTATACATAAATTTTGCAACATTTTTGCAAACATTTACATTATTTAGTTACATACATTCATATTTTAATTTCTGTAAAATACTTTTATTTATTTGCTTCATGTGTATATATTATGTATATTATATGCTCCATATTATATATATTCACATCAAAGTATCTATGGCCTAGTTTACATCGTTAAAACGTTAGTACGCGTATTAAGTTTGGTGCGCACCAATGCTTTAGTACGGGTGCGTTTACATCGGACGTACTAAGGGAAAAATATAATACGAATTTAATTCATATGGATTGCCTTCTAGTGGTAGTACTTGGAATTACAATTCGTTTAAGGTCATATTTTTGCTTTGTAAGTGATAAGTGGAGTGTATTATTTATTTGATATAAAACGAGAAATAATGAATAATAATA